ATTAGAGTGCCATGGCGTCACAACTTACAGCCACCTTAAACTCTTGGGCTTAAGCAATTCTCTTGCCTCAGCCTCCCAAGTAGCTGGGACTACGGTGCCTACCACAACACCAGTTATTTTTTTGTTGTAGTTGTTATTATTGTTTAGCAGGCCCGGAACCTACCAGCCCTGGTGTAAGTGGCTGGCACCCTAACCACTGAGCTACAAGTGCTCAGTGGCTATTTTTTTAGAGATAAGAGTCTCACTGGCTCATGCTGATCTCAAACCTGTGAGCTCAGGCAATCCACCCTCCTCGGCCTCCCAAGTGCTGGGATTACAGGTGTGAGCCACCTGCCTGTCTTTATTTTCTTTATATCACCATTAGAAAATTCTGTGAAGGGTAGGGCTGGCTCATTCATATATTGCATGTCAGGGGAGAAGTCCCTGAAATGTGCTTGAATTTCTGCATGGTGACTAAAGTAGAATAAGTCATTCAGGTCATGTATAATCTTATTGTAGCTCCTATATAGTATTGATTTATGAAACAAGCAGAGAATAATACAAAACAGTATGTAAGTTCGAAGATGTGTAGTATGGTTTGTAACCGCTATAGTGGGTCAGCTATAGTTGATTACATGGGGGAAAGGTTTGTGAGACTTTAGATTTGAGCTGGCTCTTAAAGGTTGGGTGGGATTTGAATCACTAGAATAGGGGGGAAGATATTCTGGAATGGAAAATGACCTGTATCTACATTCAGCCTTTACTGGGCATGTGCTGTGTGCTAGGCACCTTTGTACCTTAGAGGCACAAATTTGAGTAAGATAATGGCTCTCGTCCTCTAGAAACTCAACCAGATGAGTGAGTCTGTGATCACTGTGCAGGATCCTAAAGACTGCAGACATGCATATGCATGAGATGTAATGAAGGTACAGAGGTGGGCTTTGGAGTAAGCTTCAGAGGTCAGGGGAAGCCTGATCATAGTATGTTTATGAGCTACTGGAGAGACATGTTAGAGACAAATGGATACTCCAGATGAGCCAGTGAATCTCTTCTATAGTAGAGAATAATAGAGTAGAGTAGAGAAGCTGAGGTCATCTCTGGAAATGAAAGACTAGACTCTGAACAGAAGAGTAAAGGTTAAATTCACTGCTATGCTAGATAGTCCGGGAGAAGAGATTGTTAAGCCATGACAGGGGCCCAATTGGAGAGGGTCAACATCAGTGTTTGGCCCTGGAGTATCATGATCTGTCTTCCTCGAGAAGGTTTTGCTTTAGAAAAG